TCTCACCAACTTTCTTATTTCAAGAACTGTGCCAGAGAAATCTATTTTACAGCCAACTTTTGAAAATTATAAAAAAATGTAGAAAAATCTTTTGGACCTCAATTTTATGTCAACATCTTCCTTAAGGAGTTAGATTTCAAGGAAAATTGGTTTCACTGAAAAAGAGTGAGCGGTTTGTGAGAAAATCTGATTTTCGTAACGGTCGACAAATATGGACAAAGCTGGAGTATTTCTGAAATAACTAAAAATCTGGAAATGCTATTCCATTTCCGAAAAATGTTATGAAAACTAGATAAATTTCTCTATGAATCATAGGAAGATCAAATTTGGGAAAAATCTAAAATAGTTCTTTTAATCTTGATCTTTAAGTGACTCTGAATCTGAAAATTATGTTTCGCCTTGGTGATATAGCAGATGAGAGTTGTAGATTTTATCAAAGTAAGATCAGAGTTATTTTTGGAGATCCATGGAGAAATATAGAGATTAGAGTGTTGGCGGTGGAGGAGATTGATTTGAGGTAATTCGGGTGGTATGCAACATGCTTCCTTTAAATCTCTTTGCAAACAGTGTTATTTTAATCACCTTCAATTTGTACTCCTCTTGATAATTTTGATAATTTGATAAATTCTGTAGAGTTATTCGTTGTTGATTTGCTTGATTACTCTAGTCATTTGATGAACTCTATGTAGTTATTCTGTGTTGGAAATGTTGATTTGTCTAGCTAAATAACATGAAAATGTTCTATACAGGGATCGAGTGGACTTTGCCAATATGCTCTGTACCAATAACCTGGATGAGCGGTTGTGCTTGGATGAGGGGGTGAGGCCGGTCACTGGCTATGTACTGAGTAAGACCGGGTATTTGGTCCTGGATAAATTATCATATGTCGAGTTGACTTGTTTGTGCAATTTGGTAAATTGCTTGGTATCTTGAAATATGCTTCCTTTAAATCTTTTTGCAAACAGTGTTATTTTAATCACCTTCAATTTGTATTCCTGTTGATGATTTTGATAATTTGATAAATTCTGTGGAATTATTCATTGTTGATTCGTTTGATTACTCTAGTCATTTAATGAACTTTGTGTAGTTATTTTGTGTTGAAAATGTTGTTTTGTCTGGTTAAATGACGTGGAAATGCTCCATACATGGATCAAGTGGACTTTGCCAATATGCTCTGTACCAATAGCCTGGATAAGCGATTGTGCTTAGGTGAGGAGGGTGAGGCCGGTCACTGGTCATGTACTGAGTAGGATCTGACATTTGGTCCTGGATAAATTATCATATGTCGAGTTGACTTGTTTGTGCAATTTGGTAAATTACTTGGTATCTTGAATTGAATCATTTGTGTAAGTATTGGATCCCTGTGAATTTATTCTTTGTTCGAACTTTGTTATTCCTGTCGTATTGTATACTTCCCGAATTAATTTATTTTTCAGGTATGGAGCAAATTTAGTGGCGGTTGAAGTTAAAGAATTTAAAGGATTATTGAGTTAGAGATTTTTGGGCTCACCACTATATATTATTTTTAGAGATTTGTATAAGTTATATTTTGGAGACATTTGTGTAATTATTTTGGAAATAAATCTGTATTTTTTTGAGGTTATTAATTAGTTAGAGGTTTAAATTTGAGGCTGAGTTGATTAATTAACGGCCCAGAAGTTGAGGCATTACACTTTGGTAATTTAAGTACGTTAATTCTCTCCAGGATTGAATCTCGAAGACCTCCCTCAAACATCCTAGCCTTTTTGTAATCTATGTGAACCATATGCGGTGCAAAATGTGCCAACTTTGTAAATTGGGCTTTTTCTTCAGTCACTGTCTTGTTACCCTGTTTTAGTTGCTCAAACTCGGATACCTTTTTGCCCCGGATACATTGTGGGAAATACTTCTCATAAAAGATTTCTAGGAATCGTGCCTAGCCAATTTCTTTATTATCGTCATGGATTAACATCTACCATCTTCTTGCTTCATCCTCCAAAGTAAATACGACTAACAGGACTTTTTGCGCCTCGGTACAAGGAAACACCTCAAATAACTTCTCAATCCCCAAGACTGAAGTTTTAACCTTGAGCAGGTTTACTCTTCTATGAAACAAATGTGGCTTCATCTTTTTGAATTCCTTGGTGAAGGCAATGGTTCGATCATCTGATTGATGGTCCTGTATCGGTGGTGGTATGAGTATTAGAGGTAGGGATGGTGGTTGTTGTTGTTTCCATTGTTGTTATTGCCTCAAGCTATCAGCCATATCATGCATCATTCTTTCAATCCTATCAAACCTTGAGAAGGTTGCCTCCTCCAATTCATCACCTCTTCACTATTATCTATATGAACCTTGTGTTATAACAAACACAATATATGTACAAATATATATTCACATACACAATTACAAAAATTTATCTCATTCTAATATCCATATGCATATGAATGCAATCCTTAAGTCTTTTCTAGATACCTTCTTACTCAATGGACAAGTGAGTGAGATATAATTCGTACTCTGATACCACTCTGTTATGACCCATACCCGCACTTAAAAGGTTAGGTGTCATGATAGGCCAGTAATCCCAAATTACCTATGGCCTAATGACAAAATCAATCATAATATAATAACGGGGCTTAGTGAAAGCAATATTGAATACAAAAGATAGTCCATTGAGCAGTGCATATATGCCAAATTCATAAATATTTAAAACTTCAAACTTCATTCATGCTTATATACATACGCACACCATATCCAGTTAACTCCTTATACATAATATCCATTTAAAACAAATCTTCTCAGATAGCAAAACAAAAGAATGTAAAATAGAAGGGTTGACAAAGCTAGACTCCTCTCGAGTCCAAGCACGCCCCATCATGGAGGCACTTCAAAATGGCTTTACAGGGGTAGACTCCAAGGCTGCCTTAGACTTGACATTCCACTTGCTCACCTGCATATATACAAGGAAGAGGGGTGAACTGGAGCCTACTGAGTAATATCAATATAAAGGGTTTAAATGAATGAAGTCCAACATGATACGAAACATATCTTTCATTTTCCGAAACAATCCATTTCAATAACCAAAACAATTCGATTAATAATCATATCAATCATTTGCAATAACAATAATCATTTGAATCATTATACGTGATACATCCAATAAAGTAACAATGAAACGATGGGTTGAAGTCAATAGGACCACAATGGTCAATACAATGGACCACAACGGGTCAATCAATAGTCTATATAATTCAATGTGGACCATTACGGTCTAACATCAGAGATCTCTGTGTGTCAATTAATCAAATAAGTCATGGTATTGTTTTCCCCTAGGCAATAGCCATGGTATTGTTTCCCCCAGACAATTAAGGGCCTTACTAAAGGATGCCATACATTTCCAAAAAAATAAAAAATAAAAAATAAAAAATAAAAAAGACATTCATTCATTCATATAAAATAACATTTCAAAATATCATTAATGTAACAATTTTTAAACACATTTCGAACATATCTTTATAAAGATATTACCTACAGTGGGTTCTACCAATATTAAGCCTTAGGCATTCACCTACACAATACACATAACAAAGCACACATTGAAACACAAGTCTCAATTAAACGTTCTATCTTAATTCATTTTCCTTTTATGTGTTCCTAATTCATTTCCTTATTAATGTTGTCTAAACAATGCCCAATAATGCTTAAGAGAGCATGAGGATGAAAACATGCACATGGGTGTGTGCTTTAGAAATGTGAGAACAGGGCAATTCGCTCGAGTGCACCTTTGGTCGCTCGAGTGGACAACTTGGTCTGCAAAAGTACTAGATGATCCAAATCTAGGCTCGACGCTCGCTCGAGACAGGGTGCAAAATAAAAGGCAATCGCTCGAGCAGTAACTTGGTTGCTCAAACCAATTGCTAATGTCTACAAAAGTACTGGATACATACAAAGTACGCTTGAGCGACAGATTCATCACTCGAGCAAAGTGGACGAATTTTGAGATTTTCAGAATTGCATTTGAAGTTGAAAAGCACGAGTTTCAAGTCTAAAGGTTGCATAGCTAAAGAAAACATGAAGAAACACTTTACAAAACGTGAATACTTAATAATTACAAACTATAATTCAAAATCTCTTTCAAATTTTCCAAAACAAAACCCAAAAATCCGTAGTTTTGCCATGCATGTAATAAATTCAACCTCTTTTCTTTTTAAGACATGATCATATGAGATGATAAGTGAAAAATCATGAAGAAAAAGTGAGAAAAGAGCTTTACGTAGGCTGGCCACGTATGTATGACGCATCACTCGGTGTCTCTCGGACTTGCAGAGTCGGGCCTAGTATCACTTTCAATATATTTGTGTGGTGTAGAATTTCGTTTACGAGGGGATATTTTATTTTAATATAATGACATACAAATTTATTTTGTAAATTTATCTTTTAAATTTAATAATGCGTTATCAAGATGATAGATTAATGATTAGAAAATAAATAAGAGAAACAATTGACTCAAATATTTTCATAAAGTACCACATCATTAGATCTAAAAAGTAAATCTAATTTTTAGACATAAATAACAATACTTTTTATTTTTTGGGTAAATTACAAATACACCTCCTGATATTTGATTAAAATACAAATCGCCCACCCCTTGATGTTTTTAATTTCATAACAAATCGCCTCTTTTATTAATAAATCATCAAGTCAATTAACCGTTTTTAATGATGTTAAAAATATATTTCAATTAATAATTAAAGTAATTTTATATTGTATAGGAGAGCAATTATAAATTTTATTTTTTCAGTTAGTTCTTGAAATAAAAAACACTAACAATGAGGTATTTATAATTTCCTAAACCATAGAAAGCAAGCTGTACTTTAAGTAAAATTTAGAAGTGTATTTATAATTACCCTTATTTTATTTAATTTTGGTGTGCGGCTGACTTTTAGTAAGTAAACCGCGTGGTAGGTGAAACTGAGCATAAATAAGATGACAGTGAGGGAATCTCCAAATAGATTTACAAAAATAAAACTGAGGTAGCAAATATTAATGATACATTCAAGTGGTAGGAAGAGTTTAGAAAAACATAAAAAAATGGCAACAAGCTCCGGCAACTACACAAGGTTCTTTACTAGCGAATTCAATCGCGCAACGTATGGAACTCGTCAGCGTAAGTTGAAAATGCTATAATTTTCCATTCATTCCTAGCCATTTTTACTTAAATTAAAATCTCATTTTTGTGTATGCGTGTTTGATATTAACTTGAAAAAATTAAAAAGTCAATTTTAGCCAATACCGGCCACTGCACCGAGCAATACTGGATGGCGATTGGAAGAGAGTGGAAGAATTTTACAAGTCACATCCAGGAGCAGAGACAGATAGCATCACAGAAAGCAAGGATACGGCGGTGATGGTAGGGGTTATGTCGGGGCAGAAAATAGAATTCATAAGGAATCAAGTGGAGTATGGAAGGGTGGATTTGAGAAAAAAAAACAAAGAGGACAATACTGCACTTCATGAAGCTGCAATTGTTGGTCATTTAAAGGCCGCTAAGTTACTAGTGGGAAAAGATACAAGCTTGCTATACATTCGTAATTCGGATGGGTATTTACCATTTCACTTAGCCGCTGCCTATGGTCAGAGGGAGATTCTGATTTATTTTCTGAGAGTAGGTGAGGTGCACAACTTACAGCTATCGGAATCGGAGTTGGATATGCTTATGCATCTTGAAGTAACTGCCGGATTCTTTGGTAAGTACCACTACTACTACCACTACTGTTATTATGTAATACACTTATTCCTCACAAATTTTCATGGTGTTTACTGATGGCTAGTATATATATATATATATATATGTATATTAGCATATGTCGTTATGCATGGACTGAACAAATAACTTAAAATTAATTTTCAAATTGGTAATCAATTTCAAATATATCTCTTGAATCTTGTTTAAAATACGAATTGTTCATTATAATTTGAAAAATTATAAATATCCCAATTCTTAACTGATCTCCTATACAATGATAAAACTACTTGAATTCTTAATTGAAATATATTTATAATATTATTAAAAATTATTAATTGATTTGATTTTTTAAATAAAATGAGCGGTTTATTATGAAATTTGAACCTTCAAGAGACGAGATGTAATTTTCAAAATCATAGGGAATAAATCATATTTTAAACAAATCTTAATCCTAAAATTAAATAATAATATAAAATTTATTTAAAATGTATAGAAAAATAATTTAGAATGAATTAATTTTTAAACATTTCATTAGAATATATGTGTGTGTGTGTGTGTGTGTGTGTGTTGTAGTTGTTACGCCATTAATTGTATTTTCTAAATTTTTAATAAAAAATAGATATTATAATTTAATTGGTAAAGATGGAAATTTAATAAATTACAAAATTATATTTATAATTAAATAAAAATACATTTTTTCCTATAATTTTTTCAATTTTAGTTTATTCTATGTTAAAGTTTGTCCAATTATATAAAGCTAAAAAATTTCTTTCATATTTTTTATTTAAATATTTTTAAATTACAAATAAATAAATTTTATTTGGACTCTCCTTTTAAATCTCAAATTAGATGCAATTTAGATATGGTTAAAATTTTATTTTTAATTTTCCATCTACAAATTTTTAAATTAAAAAAAAATTAGATAGACCAATAGTTTTTACCATGTATATCTTATACCACATATTTTTAATTTTTAATTTTTTTTAATAAGGCTTATATATGGTTAAACACGATATATGTATTTTTTGTTGTGGTATAAAAATTTACACTACACATGTATTTCTTTTAATTTATGTTTACATGAGCCATGCAAAATTTCTTTTTTAATTAATAAATTTGCTATAAATATTCTGACAGCTAAAAAATTAAGAATTTTTTAGACACCACATGTACTGTTTAGTTTTCAAAAATAAATATATAAAATTTTGAAGTAAATATTTTTAAAATTTGATATAAGACTGAAGTTAATTTCCTTTCAAAATTTTTAAATTTCAAATTAGATATGAATTAGTTATGGATTTTTTTTTTTTTTAAATTTCTATATTCAGGTTTTTAAATTTCAAAATCATAGATATGATTAGATGGACTGATATTTGTGTGCCATGTATATTTCTTAATGTGTAAATTTTTTTAAAAAAAAAATTAAGAAATTTAGATTAATCCTTTGAAACTAATGAAAAATCCATTTTTATTAAGAGAGATGCCACATCTCCTAATTGAGGACCCTAATTTCAACCCCAATGACGTCGTTAAGACCCATGTAAAGCGGTCTCTCTCTCTCTCTCTCTCTCTCTCTCATCTTTAACCCCCTAATTCCACATTATTACTCAATGAATACGACGCACGGTGCCTCTACCTATTCCAAAATTTTAAAAATCCTTCATCCCCTACACCACAAATTTTTTTTTTTTCAATGAGATTTGAAATTTTGAGTAGTGTGTTTTGAATGATAAACATTTGGATAGAAGATTAACTTAAAATCAATATAGTTAAGAAGGATTTTAAGAACAAATTCTGTGAAATAGTATTGTATAGAGGACCAATCAATTAAACAAAATAAATTGAACAACGATTTAAAAACTAATGTGTGAATACAAGTTATGATACATTTATACATATGCACATATATTTAATATCACATACATATATTATTATTTATAAATACATTAATATACACATATTTAGACATGTAGATACTCAAGGCAAAAGACTCAAAGAGAAAATATGAAAGGAAGAGATATTTAAACATTCTTTTAAATATAAATATTTGTACCAATCCCCAATAATAAAAAGAGACAAATATATGAATAAGTATAAAACTAACCTCTTCTAATATACATGTTGCTCCATTGTATAGAGTTTTGCCTTCTTTTAAAATGCTCCTCATGTTGAATGGTATATATATTTTGCGTTAAATTCAACTAATAAATTTGCATTGAAATATTAAAGCTTTTACAGGATTAGTATGTATATATCTCAATGCTAAAAAATTTCCGTACTTAATTTTCATTACATGATATAATTAATATGCTTAAATATTGTTTTTAATTGTAAAATCTAACATATTTTTGAAATAATATGATTGTACATAAAATAAAAGGTGAAAGTAGTAACTACATGACTCTCCAAGTCATTTATAATATAACATGTATTAAAAAATTCTAAAACAAACATAAATCAAGCTAAACTTTATGTTTTTAAGTTCCGATGTATGCACATGTTAAATACTAGGGTTTTATATTGTTAATAACAAAAATTGAAATGTTTAAGTTTTGACAATCTATACTCAAGTCCTGACAAAATTTAATTTGAGTTGGTAAATTTTTCTTTAAGTCATGACCAAATTTAAAATTCTTTTGACCACGTAATAAAATAAAATGAATTTATATTACTCAAATTGAGCCCAACAAAGTTGCACTTCTCTGAATTAAGTCATACAGTAAAGTAGATTTTGCTCTTAATTTTATGATCTAAAAATTCACATTGCATGTTCTCATGAGCACCTCCCACACTCTCTTGGAATAATAGCAATTGAAGAAAAGATGATTATGATCCTTTTTGTTACCCCTACAAAACATTATCAGTCTATCGCCAGTGTTGAGTCTTTCAAAAATAGCCATCCAAACCACAAAATGTTTGAAACTAAATGATTTTAGACGAATTAACTTGAGCTTTCCTCTGCATCCAAAGGTTCCAATCGTAATTGATAGAAAAAGAATTGACAAAAGAAGCAGGCTAGGTCACCTGGCCCTTACCAGGAAAAGGTTAAGGTTAGGAAGGGTAAGATTTCTCAATTCTAACAATTCCCAAGTTTGGGCTGCGAAGTACTTCCAATTCACCCCTAAGATGATCTCCTCAACTCTAGCTTGAACAGTCAAATCGGACTCAAATGGTTTCACCAAATTTTTTGATTAAATGGCCTAAAGGGTGCCAATTATCAGTGTCATTATCATCACCAATCAAATGTTTAATGCAGGGGGTAAGTGACACTCCTGAGTCCTTACAATTTCCTCCACGCCTAAGAGGGATCGAAAGGAATCCTAACTTCGCAAAAGCATTTGCCTTTAACAAATAAGATTTCACTCACTGGCACTACATGGACTGATCACCACTAGAAATAAAAAACAAGTTATGCTTAGCCCCCTATTCCAAACTTCCATGGATTTGAGGCCCAGGCCCCCTTCCAAGGGACAAAAAGATTGGTGTAGGTAATTTTGATCTCCATCAGATCTTTCCTAACTTTAGTCTCCACACCAGAAAAAAAAAAAAATAATAATAATAATAATAATATGACTTTTACCAAGGCTATGAGAGAGGCCAAACAAAGCTTGTAATTTAGTATGCGCCTCTTTAATGAGACCAACAATGTGCCTATCACCCCTGCAAAAAATATTGAATCTTTAACAAAACACTTATTAACAATTCTATTTTTTTTTCCGGTAGTGCTACATACACCAATTAGTGTACTAACTAGTGTACCAACACTAGTTATGACATTATTATTGATTTCACTCATTATACAAATTACAAATACTAAAAATGTCTTAAATTATGCCACATCATCAATTGGTACATTAGTTAGCACACTAATTGATACATATAGTATTATTCTTCTTTTTTTTCTTTTTTCTTTTTTTTTATCACCCATTCAATGGAATTTGAAGCAAGGGTTAGTGGCCTTATTAGCTAACAATCTAGTACGGACTTCCATAACACTAACAAAAAGGTAAGGACAAAAAGGATTTCCTTGTCTCAACCGTGGGTGATTCCTCAAGCAGCTATACTGACATGCAAATCATTGTTAGAAGTATTTACAATATAGAAAAGTTCATTTAACCTAAGAAAGAGTTTTCATAAATCATAATGGAAAAGAAGTAAATAACATACCAAAGTCCCACAATATAAGAGAGAAATTATCAATCTTTATAATTAGTAAGGATTGACCCCCTGACCTGTCAAGAGGAAGTGTAGCTTCATAAATCATAATGGAAAAGAAATAAACAACATACCAAAGCCTCGTAATATAAGAGAGAAATTATTAGTCTTTTATAATTAGTAAGAATTGATCCTTTCAAAGCTATGTGTGGGGCCAACTGAGCTAGCCCAAATTCATTTGCAAAACTGAATATTAAAGTATAAAACTTAATCAACATAAATTGGTGGTGTGGGCATTGCTTGTTCTCATTACATGGCCGATTATTCAAAAAGAAAAAAAAAAAAATGTCTTCCAAATCTAACAATAGATATTTCACGTTAAGTGTTTACATAATCTTCACTTTGTTGATTTATGCCATTAATGTTTCAGATTTGGTTAGTTATTTACTTGCAAGCAACCCTAGATTAGCATTCTCCCAGTGGCAGGATGTCCCTCAATTGGAAATATTAGCCCAAATGCCATGTGCTTTTCGTAGCGGAACAAAATTAAACATGTGGAAGCGTTTTATCTATGATTGTAAGTCTCTTGGCTATTTCCCCTTCTCTCAATACTAATTTTTATGCTGTCTTCTACACATTTATTAGTTTATTTATCTTCACATAGAAAAACAAAAACAAAATCCATTTAACTCGTGTAATTCTACACTTACTAAATTTTGTGCCATATTATATTTATCATTTCATCGGTTAGCACCTCATTAGAGATAGACATGAGTGATGATTATACTAGTAATGTGTTTAAAAAAAGAGATGATAAATGTAAGGGCAAATTATATCGGTGGTCCCTACGTCTTATATCTTGTGTCATTTTAGTCTCTACACTTTCAATTGGCTCAATTTTTACCCTTAATTTTAGATTTTGAGTTAATTTGGTCCAATTGATAATGCAATTAGTGTATTTGACAAAAAATAATCACTGAATTGATTAACTCACTGAGTTAAGTAAGTTTATAATTTTACTTTTAAAAATATGACACATGTCACTTATATGCGTATTTTTCATAAAAAAATAAAAAATAGTAAGAGTTATTATCAATTGGACCAAATTGAGACAAAATTATAAATTTAAGATTAAAATTGAACTAACTAAAATTATAGAGATTAAAATTATAAAGTAGTTAAAATGTAAAGACTGCTGTCATAATTTGCCCAATATAAAAGGATTGCTGTTGTAATTTACCCAATGTAATAATACGGTATAAAAAATGTGGTAAGTACAGTGTTGGTCCAAACATGTGATATGAACCGATAGGCTGAAGGGTGCAAGTGTGGTCCAAACTAACCTTCAAGTGATCTGGCATCTATATATGCATCATACAATTGCTTATGTGGCTAGGCTCATGGAGCCTATCGCTGGATGCTAATATCCATAACATAATCATTTTGGAGTATTGGTTGCTACGTGGTCAATCGGTGCTTCTCATGGTGAATATTTGGACCGTTGGACCACGTAATATTGTCTTGGAAGGTTTACAAGCTCCACAAATGTCTTTGGAAGGACTCTTGTTACTGTTGGAAAAACACCCTTTGGTTATATGACATGGCATTTTTTAGGGCAATATGATATATTTTATAATGTTAATAGTCATTCATCAAGCTAAAATTTGGCAAACTCCTATCATTCCAAATTTGACACAATTGATAGCACTACTGGAGATTTTTTGTACATATCATGCCAAATTTTAACAATAGCTTGATCAATAATGTAAATGTTGATTTTTGACCTCACAACCAAATTAGATCTCCTAATCAAAATCCATGGAACTCAGCCATAGAGTACACAAAAGAATAGAAAAGCCCAACACCTACACACAGGAAGAAAATAAACACTACGGTGACTCATTTACCCTGGACACTCTGACGATCAAGTTAGCCAACTTATCTATCAAAGATATCAGAACAAGTAAACAATACACAAGCAAAAGCATCCCTTAGACCTACGGAGGTGCCTTACTTTTATAATCGGCAGTGCCCTCGTCCTATAGAAGTACCACTTGCGTAAGACTCTATCCCTTAAGATAACATCTATCTTGGACTCCTCTAATCCAAATTAGAATAAGCTCTTTTACGAGTCTCATCTCTATCCAAACAGAGTTCCTCAAACTATCTAGGACTCTTGTCATCTATTTGAATATCTCGGATTCCGATATGGTAGCACCATATCTTAGTATCTTGATTCATCCACGTGGCACCTCGATCAATAACCTCAACAACGTGGACAACCCTAAAAATATGTCTCCACAACTGCCCCATGAGTTCTATCACCTCGGCAACCTAAGGTGACGAAACCTACATTGTCTAACCTCTCAATATGTCAGCTAAACGACATGATGAAAGATATCTCTCCAACCGAGATCAGGACTCATCGACGTCATAGAACAAGGACTCAAGTGTCCACTTATCATGAATCAAGAACCAACATGTTATGTCTCATCCAAGTACAACATCTCAAACGAGATCATGCTACTAGAAGAGGTCACAACCTGCTAGTTCAAGATTCTTGCCTTGGTCAATCAATGTCCTCCTTACTTGACACCCTCTAATCCTGAGGGTAATCACCAAAGCATCATTATGCAAATACTGAACGATTTCCAAGTCCTCATCTATAAAATAAATCATTGGTCCCCGACATCCCTTAGTTTGGGTTTCTTCTATTGAACCTGAAACACGTGCTGTAAATGTTTCACCCTCTGAGTCTCTCCCCTGATCTTGTTTGTGCTCACATTTGAGTGGATGACGTTAATAACTTGAGGTTCTTCAACCCGAGATGTTGTGGGTGGTGGGGGTGGTTCTCTTGCTTGTGCTTGAGCCAACTTGGCTTGTTTTTCTCTTGTTTTCTTTTTATCGATCAAATCTCTCATATGCCCCTATCTAACAAGGTATTCCAAGTGCTACTTCAAAGCCCGACATCCTTGGGTCATATGCCCCGTCTCGTCATGATATGCATATGACCTAGTGCGAAACCTCCCCATTGATTCCTTTAGGACCCTTTACAGTGGTCTGTAATAGGCTTGGTTCTTGATCCTCTCCAAGATCCTATAAATCGGGATCTTAAAGATAGTGCTAACAGCCTACGTCACCTTTAATCTCAGCTCCCCATTGTCATTGTCAGCTCCATTTTGGTTTCTCTTAGGCGAGTTATTCCTCCTCTTTTTCTTAGATGTACTTCCTCGCTTTGATCTCTTATCCTTCTCTACTCTGGTATACTTCTCAATTCTCACCATAAGACTCTATGATTTTCAAGAGGGTCTTCGTTAAGGATTATTGAAGTAGGCAATCTTCTTCTAGGCCATTTTTGAAAGAAACGACGGTTAACTCCTCGTTAAATCCCAGAATTCAGTTGTAAATCTCGTAATATCTCTTGGCGTAGGCCCTAAGACTTTCGTCATCGTCTATCTTCAAAGCCAGTAGTGAATCCACCCTCTGTGGCTATATGTTATTGCTCACAAATAAAGCCATGAACGTCTCGGCCAAGCCTTCATAGTTTTTGACTGACCCCTTAGGCAACTTTAGGAACCAGTCTAACGCTATTTGTTCTAACATCGATGGGAACACCTTGCACAACAGCGGGTCGTCCTCGCTCCGCAAAAACATTGCATTTAAATACAAGTTGATATGAAAATTAAAATCGGACTTGCCATCATATACTTGGAATCGCAGCATTGTAAACCTCTTCGGTGCTTTAAAAGCATCTAACTCCACTGAAAACGATGACTTCGGTTGTATAGTAGATGTCTCTTCGGCGGTATTCCACTTTCTCTGAAGATTGTAGCACAAGTCTTCTTTCGATCTCCTTGTTGCCCTATTACTCACCGATTTCAGTCTCTTTAGTGCACTACTCCTTGCACTTGGATGTGTCCTCTTAGACCTATTAAGATCCAACATCTTTTCCATATGGTAATCCTGCTCCTTCACTTGGCATGATCCTCTGATTTGGGATACTCCCATTCTTTGAGGCTCATCTCTCCCAACATATTGAGATCACCCTGGTGAGTTCACAGTCCTTCTCCCATTGTTTTACACCACGATCTTTCCTACTGACTAGGCACCAGCGTCTGTAGCAGTTGACAGTGCTGCCGGTAATGACAATGCTAGATGCATTACCTTGTTTGACATCATAAAGCTCACCATCGTCTGTAAATCCATCAATTTGGGTGCCAAATCTTTCACCTTGTTATCCTTTTATATGCACTAGTCCTTTCAAACCTGGAAATCACTTTCATTGTAGTACTCTTTTAGGGCTTGATCCTGCCTACCCTCGTTGCTCCCCCTCGGGCCTTTGCGGCCCTTGGCGGCATTATGCGCTTCTGGGTTCGCCTCCTATACTTCTTCATAATCTTTCTCATCTCCTCCACCATCAAGACTGGCATGCTTCTTTTCCTCACTATGCACATCGTCTCTGACTTGATCTCCTTATCCGACGTTGGCCATCTACTCTTGCTAAGTTCCCACAGACGGTACCAAATTGTGGGTGTTAATTTTTGACCTCACAACCAAACTAGATTTTCTAGCTGAGATCTAAGGAACTTAGCCGTAGAGCACACGAATGAATAAAAGTTGCACCTAATAAGACAATAAACACTACGGTGGCTCGTCCACCTAGGAGCACTCTAACGATCAAGTCAGTCAACTTATCTCTCAAAGATATTAGAATAAATAAACAATGCACAAGCAAAAGCATACCTTAGATTCATAGGAGTACCTTACTTTTATAGTCAGTAGTGCTCTCGTCCTCTAGAAGCACCACTTCGTAGGACTCTATCCCTTAGGATAGAGTCCTACGAATGACCTCTTTTAAGAGTCTCATCTCTATTTATCTTGGACTCTATCCTTTTATCTTGGACTCCTCTAATCCAGATTTGAATGACCTCTTTTAAGAGTCTCATCCCTATTTAAACAGAGAGCCTCAAACCATCTAAGACTGTTGTCCTCTATCCGAATATCTCGAATTTCGATATGTAGCACCATATCTCAGCATCTCGGTTCATCCACGTGGCACCTTGGCCAATAACCTCGGCCACGCGGACAACCTTAAAAATATGTCTCCACAGATAACGTTTTGCAGTTGATTTAAAGAATGTAAAGTAATAATAGAATATTAAAATGTACATAATGTATTCATCTTATAAGTATTTCAAAACATGTTTAGAGTGTATAAGTTACATTCCAAGGAATACAAAATATTGTTACTATGAGGACATTCATCGAATAGGTTATATTCAGAGGATTCAAGATATGTTTTTGAAGTGTCCACGAGGTGTTAAAAATTGTTCGATATTATGTATTCAAAATTTTAATTAAAAAAAGTGTGGCACAATTTTAGAAGTATTCACAAAATGTAAGTGCCCAACATAGAATGCCTCAAATCCATAGTAGTGTCCGTTCTTCTTGAGGGAAATAGCTATGTCAACGAAGCATCCACTGGAGATTTTTTTTTTTGGTAACAAAAAGAGGAAAATTCAAAGGAAAAAAAAAAAGAAGAAGAGTGCAAATAGACTTTAGATTGTGGTATAATCCCATGCTAATAAATTACCCACAATGATAGTAAAATGCTATATCTGTTTATTTTGATAAACCATATAAAGTTTAAGATAAATTATATTATTAATAGA